TATATATGGTATTTTGCCTCTATGTATTGACTGTATGTCTGTCTGTGCACCAATGCAGTATTCACGAAGGCCAGAAGAGGGCATCAGATGCCTGGAACTGGGAGTTCCTCAGGGTTGTTAGCTACTGCATGGGTGCTGAAGGTCCAATCAAGAGTCCACTGGTAGAGGAGTCAAGTGCTCTTAACCTTGGAGACATCTCTCTAAGCCCCAGTCCTACATTGTGACTACCATGAAGTTTAACATTGGCTAGAGTGGCAGAGTATGGGGTGCACAGCTGTAATCCCAGTTTAGGGAGGCGGAGGCAGGAAGATTATGAGGCTATCTTGAGGTCTAATGACCCTCAGTCAAAATAACCAGTCAGGCCAGGGCTACATAGTGAGACTGTTTCAAAAACAACAACAAAAACTCAGGCTGGCGAGATGGCTAAGCGAATAAAGGCCCTTGCTCCCAAGCCTCACAGTGAGTTCAAATCCTAGGATTGCACATTGTCTTCTGCCTTCCACATGTGCACCTGTGGCACATGCATGTGCCACATCTACTTACTCATCAACACAAAGAAATAAAACTATAACACAACAACAGACGAGGTAGAATATTATTCCCATTTCATTCTTTGTCAAAATGTTTGGCTATTGTAGGGCCTGTGCCTTTTATTCTAAATTTTAGAATAAGCGGCTTTATGTCTACCAAAATCTTTGCTGGGATATTTATAGAAAGCTGCATTACATTTATATATGATTGAAGGAAGAATTGATATCTTAATTGTGTTGACTCTTCTAATCCATGGTATGGCCTCTTGATTTAGGGATCTAAGTTACAAAATTATATTTTGTAATTTATTTTAAAACAGGGTCTCTCTATGTAGCCCTAGCTGGTCTGGAATTCAGAGATCTGCCTGCTTTTGCTTCCTGAGTGGTGGAATTAAAGGCACTTGCCATTTAATCCCATTTTCTAGTTTTTTTTTTTTTTTTAAGGGGGGGGCGGGGGATTCTGTGTATAGCTCTGGCTATCCTTGACTTACTTTATAGACTAGGCTGGCCTCCGACTCACTTGCCTCTGCCTCTGAGTGCTGGGATTGAAGATATGTGCCACCACCTGGCACAGAATTGCTTTTTTTTTTTTCTTTTGGTTTTTTTGAGGTAAGGTTTCTTTGTATAGCCTTGGCTATCCTGGACTCACTCTATAGACTAGGCTGGCCTTAAACTCAGAGAGATCCACCTGCCTCTGCCTCCTGAGTGCTGGGATTAAAGGCGTGTGCTACCACCACCTGGCTTAGAATTGCTCTTTTTGAAGATAGAGTCTCATTATTCAATTCTAACTAGCCTCAAATTCACAAGAGGTGGCTGTCTCTGCCTCCTTAGTGCTAGACTAATATACCACCACCACTCAGTCTCCTTCTTTTATGTGCTGTGCTTACATGTATATGTATGCATCATATGCATGCCTGGAACCTGCAAGCCAGGTTTGCAAGCCTATTCTGCAAGCCAGAATAGGGCATCAGATCTCCTGGAACTAGAGTATGGATAGCTGAAGCCACCATGTGGGTGTTAATTTCTTTTTTTTTTTAATTTAATTTAATTTTTTTCTTATCAGTTAGTGGGTGTTAATTTTAACCTCCATATATTTATACTACCATTTAGAAATATGGCTTCGGCCATATCCATAGCTGATACTGTGGCCTTAGTCCCTTGCATACTTGCCCACCCTCTTACATGCACTTGCTTACCTGGCCACTAATCTCTTCTCTCCGGAGCAGCCGAATGGCTAGGCGTAACAGCCCTACCACTGCTCGCTCCACAAGGAAGCAGAAATCTTGTGCCTGAACACACAGATGATACAGATGATCTCGAATGGTCTGCCATACACAGCCCACACGGTCCCTAAAAATCATAAAGGGAAAGAACAGTCTCAACTGGACAGGCCACTTGGTAGTAAGTCTCCCAGGCCTTTCATAGTTCACTGGTGTTATACCCTAAGCAGCTAAGCTCAAGCTCCCTCTACTGCCCATAGCTTCACTTGTTTCTTGCCCCGAGAGGCCACTCAGGAAGATGGCTTTCAGCCTTTCAGCACATGCTCAGTATGGGATCTGCCTAAAGCCTGCCCTCACCTGCCCTCTCCTACCTGTTCTCTAACACGATCCTTAGCAGCATCTCCAGACAGAAAGCAGCATCTTCTTCATCATATGTCTCTTCATCTGGTGTCACCGAGACCAGAGCCTAGAGGGCAGCAGCAAGGAAAGTAGGAATGGAAGAGAAGCCAGCCACTATCTCTGTCCCAACAGAAATTGAGGGCCACACCACTACCCTGTTGCCTTTTTCAGACCTCTATCTTATACCTTCATGAGTTCCTGCAGTGATTCCAGCTGGAGGAACTTGCTTTCTGTGATCATTTTTTCTGGGTCACATTGCTAGAGTGGACACAAGAAAGAGGGGATCTATAACAAAGGCTATAGGGAAGAGAATTTCCAAAGACCAGGGAGAGAGCGCAGAACTGTCCCTTCACAACTCTCTAGAAGGAAGCCTTCAGCTCAGACAATCACATCTCTCTAGAAGGAAGGAGCTGAGGACTTCTCATGAGAGATTGACAGGTAGTCACCTTAATACAGTCCAAGGCCATTCTCTTGGCCTCTTGGTTCTCTGTAGATGGGCCCCGAACGCTAGACTGCTCAGGACCACTCAGTGTCAGCCAGCTCACGAAGCTAAGTACTGTTGACTCCCCTCTGTAAGAAAAGGACACATGTCCTGGTGAGCACCAACATTCTGACTACCTTCTCTCCCAAAGTCCTTAGCCACTGGTCTGCCCTTACCGGTTTGACGGTGTTTCCTCCCGCTGTAGAGAGATCTTGCCATTGGGATCCACAAAATCTTCTACCTGGAAAAAGTAGAGCAAGAGTAACTTATGTCTAGGGGTCTGGAAGATGGCTCAGAGGTTACGAGCCCTTGTTACAATTGCAGAGCTGGGTTAAGTTCCCAGGGCCCACATGGTGATTACAGTCATCTATAACTCCAGTTCCAGGGACTCTGATGCCCACCTCTGGCCTCCATTGGAACTGGGTATGCATGTGGTACACATACAAATAAATCTAAAAAATAATTAAAAGAAATTATCTGGGCATGGTGAAACATGCCTGGAATCTCAGCACGGAGGAGGCTGAGACAGGAGCTACATAGCAAGTTCAACGCCAACCTCATCAACTTAGTAAAACCTTGTCTCAAAAAGTAAAAAATCATTTCTTTCTGTATATCATTTGCATTCCTGAGCTTCCTGGCCCAAGCAAAGTTCTCTGAATTTCTTCCTGCACACAGCCCATATACTACTGTGCTCCTCTAAGAGGTGGCTTCTCCTAGCCTTCCTTTACAGCTTCTCTCTGTAGTATTATATTTGAGGTGCTCTTAGTGAGCATGCATCAGAGCTAGTGCTATTCTATCCACAGCATAGAAGGCTAGGTCTTTGCCTTGTCAATGCTGAACGTTCTGTCAAGAATTACCTCCACCATAGCCTTGGGTAAAAGTTGGGCTCGGAAGAGCTGCAGCATAGCCTCCATGATATTCTTCCAGCCCTCCCGAAGGATGTCACCATGACGATGGGCCAAATGGAATACTGTCTTGGCTGCAATATGGGCTTTAGGGTTGCTCCCAAATACACTGGGCAGGTTCTCAATAGACTGGAAAAGAGGATGTAGAGAGACTTAGGGTTGGTTCATGTCTGGAAAGAAGAGTCTTTCATGTCTGCCTATGGTTCCCTGAGTCTTTCTGTTGGATTTGCTTCAAATCCAACATTCAAATATTGGTGGGAAAAGTCAACCCAATGAAGGTCTTTCCTATGTTAATCCCATCCCATCATAGATGTGACACTATTCTCATTCCAGAACTTGCAAGATAGTAATGACCTAAGCTTGTTCAAGAGGGCAGATATGGTGGATGCAGCCTCCATGACTGAGGCTCTCTCTCCTTTGGGACTCTAAGCACAGTTCCTGCTCCAACTCACCTCACTACTTAGTGCTGTGAATTTGCACAGAGAGATGATGAGATTGTCAAACACATCGCTGAGGCCATAGTGGGCGGAGATCATGGCACATTTCCTGTAATGTCACCCCATCACAGAAACAGTCACTACAAGGCCACTCAGTCCTCCCAAGTTCCTAAGCAGCCTTCCATTGGTTCTTGCCCAGTGGGTCACAGAAAGAAAGCTTTAACTCCAGATTTCCCAGGCTCCAGCCTCCCTCCACAAAATCAGGAGAAATACCATTCTGAGGAAAGTAAATTGGGTATCAAAGAGGCATATTAACATAGTGAGCTGGAAAGATATGAAGACCAAGACCAAAGCTGGGCTACCTGAAGCCTGAGATGGCTTTCTGGATGATGGTCTCCTCAAGGCTTTTATCAAAGACATAAGAGAGAGCAGCAATAGTGGGGCCCCAGGTCATAGTGAAGAGGTCAAGATCATAGCTGCCAGGAGGTACACGAAGGAATATGCCCTCAGGGGTAGCACCTCGATGAAGCAGCACACTCCACACATAGTTCTCACGAACCAGGCCTGTCTGCTCCTCCGGCATCACAATTTCCTCATTCCTGTTAGAAGGGAAGGGAAGAACTAGTTGCACTCCTGTGAACTCACTGCTTCCAAACTAAGAAAAGGGGTTTCACCTATATAGGCTTCTTGCATTTATATGAGGTCATCACAATTACAAGCTAAGTGACCTGTTTCTACCCTAGCACTGGGACCAGGCAGAGCCCGAATGCATTCATAATCTCAAAGTCCCATCTTGAACCTTCAGATCTGTACTGAGATTTCACATTTTTTTTCTGGGTGGGGGCATAAACTTCCATTTTTCCTGACTTATTATAAGGAAGTAAGCCAAGGGTGGCAGTATGGTACATGTCTATAATTCTAGCTGAGGCACAGAGATCAGGAGTTCAAGGTCAGACTCAGATACATTTCAAGTCGAGGCAATCCTGAGTTCTATGACCTGTCTCAAGATAATAACAAAACAACTAAGTATCCTGACTCAAGCCTTACCCTCTCTAGTGCTGACCTTAATTTCTCTACCAACCAGAGAATGCATTTTGTTAGCTCTCCAGGAAGCCAGGTAATTTGGGTTCAGAAAACAGGATCTTGATACCTCATTTAAGAGGAATAATTTGGACTGGAGATGTAGCTCTGGATATTCTTAGCCTGTGTAAGGTCCTGGGATTCAATCCCTAACACATATTTAACCAAACACTTATTTAAACACATAACACAAGAGGACAATTTGTATGGAGTCTAAGCTTGGAATACTGGAGTCCCATTATTGTTCAGTCTTCTTTAAACAAGAAATGAGCTGTCACAGAGGAGGCTGCACAGCTAAGTCTGAAAGCTAAATCCAGGGCACATTGTATTACAGTCTGATGTGACTCTAAAGCAGGAAAAGGAAGCAATGCATTTCTCCGTAACAGATACTACACTACTCTCCACGTATACTCACTTGATGGCATGGTACATGTCCTCCAGGATGTCTTGCTCAAAGTCCTTGCCTCCATTCACACCTTTTAGGTTTTTTCGAAACTCCTAGAGATAGGCCAGTATGTTTTCCCTGTGTCAGTGCTGTATACCACCCAAGGAACTCCTTAAGCCTGTGATAAATAGGACTTTGGAAACAATGAAGTGAAAGAACCGATTCTCCATCCCAGTCCCTCTTCTGAATTGGTCAGCCCTCCCTGATTCCCTTGACAGCATTCCATCCCTGATACACACTGAAAACTTCCTTATCTTTCCTGCTACTTTCAAAGCTGTGTTGGATCTTCTGTCTTGGTTGGAACCCAAGCTTACCTCCAGGGTCATCGGTGCGTTCTGTTTTCGAACATTGTGGTTATGCTGGTCAGTGTTAAGCATTATGACAGCATAGGCCAGGGCAAAGCAGGCATCACTATTGGCAAATGGGGAGCCATTACAACTCTAAAAAAAGCAAAGATTCCATCTGTGTCAATATCCTTTTCAAGCCAATTAAACCCTCACTACTACCAACCCACTGTCAGTAGTGGTATAAGGGGGGGACATCACCCAGAAAATGGCCGACTCCTTAAGCTGCTCCATGGAAAGCCCACTGGCGTGGCTCTCAAACCTTCTCAAGAGGTAACAGCTGAGGTTTTTAGTTGAGGGAACAAAGAAGCCCTCAAACTGATCAGGTATCCTTGACTCAGTTTCTGACACCAAGACTTACTCTCCAGTGCTCGGTGAATGCCTCCAGCAACCTGTGAATAACTGGTGCTTCCCCGGGCAAACGGAAGGCTTCCAGGTAGAGTCGGAGAGCTTCATCAAGCCGCAAACCCTGAAAGCTGAAGGTGCTACAGAGAAAGGAAACAGAATGAAGAGGTTGGAGGTATGGGAGCTGCACAGGTTAGGCTGTTAGTCACAGTCCTCATAACTTTTTCTTAGTGAAACAGAAGAGGTTGATGGCTCTGGAGGGGTACATCGGGGTCATTCCTAACAAAATCCCTAACCTCAGTACTTACCACCTTAGCAAACTCTTGTCCAGACACCTCACCCCTCAGAACCCTGCTCTAGCCTATCTGCACTGTGTTCTACTGGAACATAGAGGAGAGGGGCTCCTAAAGCCTGAGGCCCTTTCAGATCCAACAGAAATATATCATAGGAAGAGGCAAGACTATTATGTGAGCTGGTCATCAGCAGGAACTGGCAGAGGAAAGAATGCCTTCTCCCCTCAGACATTTCCTTTTTCCTTTCTTCTTTCCCCTGAACTGCCCCCATATGCTTTCTTTTTAGTGAAACTCATGCATGCTAAAGGAACATATAATCATCACTGAGTGATATCCTAATCCTCATGCTGCTTATTTCTTCCTCACCTCACAAAACTCTCCAACAGGTCCATGTTTTTGCGGTCACTCACAAACTCTCCAATCATTTTCTTGTCTAACCGAGGGTTTTCTCGGAGCCACTGAGCTACCTCTGTGTTATCCATTGGGATGGTGAGGAGGCCTTTCTCCTGCAGAAACTGGATCCCTTTCTTTGGTTTTTGGTTGAACTGCTCTGTGCCAGTGATCAGCAGCTAGAAGACAAAGACTAGAGGTATCAGACATTGCTGTGCCCTTAAGTCAGACAAGGCTGGCCACATTCTATTATAGCCTATAGCTGTTCACTCAATGAGCTCTTTGGACATGGTTCTAATTGATTCCATAGCTAAGGATGGGTTGTACTGGCCTTAGTCTTTCCCATCTTCCCACCTCACTGGCCGTGTTTGGCTTCTCACTCCTCTGCTACAAGTGCAAAGGGCAACCTCCACTCCTCTAATGAGAGCACAGAGATGGAGGGGAAGCAGATGAGTGAGTTTTTCTCTTCAGCTTTATAGCCACCTCTGGCATCTGCAGCAGCCAGCATCATGTCATGGCTAGGTTGAGATGCTTTCCCTTTTCAGATTGCGTTGCTTTTAAGGTCCTGGGTTTGAAGAACAAGGCTGACTAACTGATCTCTTTGCTTCCTGTATATTTAGTCACAGACCTGAAATCAAATGCTTGTATCTGACAATAATAAGAAGAAAGCATTAACTACAAGTTTTTATGTTAGGAAAACCAAAATTATCCCACCCCTAATCAAGAAACTATTTACAACTGCTTCTGGGATAGCTGCTGCTTCTGGGAAAGGGGGAAAAAAGACAAAAGGAAAAAAAAAGTAAGGGGGGTAATAAATGAGTTTTCTTGCCTTTCCAATTGAAGAAAAAAAAAAAACCACAATATAACAATATAAACAAGCAATTATTCAGACTTTACTAAAGTACCAAAATAAATGTTAATTCCCTTTATTACCAATCACCATGCTGGCCCCAGAGATGATCAATAACGTTTGCTGACCCAAGTGACAGCAGCTTCCAGAGCTCTGTCACCACCATAGGAGATCTGCTGTTGGCTGGAGTAGCTCTGCTCGGGGCCAACAACAGCACACCTTGAACGTGAGGAAAGGCCTTTCAAGGAGAGGTCGAACTTGTGCAGTCCCAGAAAACCTACAGACTAGCCTTGGAAGCAGTATAAAGAGCTGCTACAAGCACCCCATCCTCATCCTCTGAGACAGAAACCAGTTCTACAAAGGACATCCATACAAGGGTGGACAGTTGCTGAACACATTGGGGAGTGTATGTATGCATGTACCTTTTTTTTGTTTTTAATTTCAATTAGTTCCCGTGGATCTGGCAGAAGACAGGAAAATCGAGGCGGCTTTCTGGTGAACTTTTTGTCAACTAGGATGGAAGGAGGAGGAAAAACCCATAAGACCTTTGCAAGGTTACTGATGCTCTCCCCAGGAAAAAAGAGCAATCTCATAAATTTTCTTGTTCTTAGCCTCCTACCTACTGGAATCCTACCTCCTAGGGCTCTAATTGTTTTCTTTCCTTTCTATGGGGTTTAAAACAAGGTGAAGTGCCAGGTCTCTTTCAGATATGGCCTCAGACCACTCTGTTTCCCCAAACCTCCTGCTTTTCCTTCTCTCTAAGACCTCTAGTTGAAGGGTTGAGAGTCCTGGACACTGCATACCCACCCCCAGCGTCACCAGCTTCCTCCAGATCATTGCATCCTGGCTTTCCATGTTCTGCTGACAACCATCCTCCACTTGGAAAATGAAGGCCTATGGCATCTGGGGCCATGCCTGTGGCTTTCCCATCACTGGCTGCTCTCTCAGCTGGTAACAGGAAAAGATATGAAGACTTATGGGTGGGAAGTCAAGCAGTATTATAGAAGAGACTGAGTCAAGCCAAAAAGAGCTGCACGTTCTTATGCAGGGCAGCAGCCTTTGTAAGACAAATTCAACACAAAGAAAGAGGAGCAAGGGAAGAGAGAAGAAAAAGGAAAGAAGAGGAAAAAAAGGAGAGAAAAGAACAATAAGAGATGCATCTCACTACTGGTAGTTTCTCGGGTGCTATCCACTGCCTCATAGCCTGGTCTGGCTGCTTCTTTCTTCTCTTGCTGGGTGAGGGTGTTGAGGACTTTGGCCTGACAGTGAGCCTCAGTGCTATCAATAACTGTTAAGAGGGCATCAAGGGACAGTAGGTGTGTTGTATAAAGCTGACCAGACACAGGAAAGGCATTCTGGAAAGTAAACAGATCCATTAGACTTGAGGTTAGAATATACTTCACCTGATTATTAAAAAAAAAACCCAAAAACTCATGACTTCTCCACTGCCCTTACAAATGGCTTTTCTCCTTCCTGTTCCCCTGAAGTGTCCCCCTCTTTCACTGTGACCATATGGGAGATTTCCTTGACAGGTCCTAGAGGCCAGTGATAGTGCTCAGCACCTTGGACAGCAGCTTGGTGAGGTCTTCAAAGAGGTTGGAGCAGTAGTAGTCACAGTCGTAGTTGATGTAGAGCTCAGTGACGAAGCTGGGGATGCGCCAGAGCTGCACCACAGCCTCCAGCGCCATCTCCTTCATCTCATAAGGCATCTTGGGGTTTTCAACAGTGATGATCTCCATGAGCTTTTTGATGTACATCTGTCAGCAACAACCCAGCAATATAGATTGGTGGGAAAAAGATAGGAAGAGTAAATTGGATAGGAACAACACTAAACAGGTGGCAAAAGCCCACTCAGGAGGCATGCATTGAGAGACACCAAAAGATCCTCTTTCCTGTTTGTCTCCAGTAAAGCTCTTATTTCTATTGCCAGTCACAAAGAAGTTGTCTATTGTCATTTTTTTTAATGTCCTGTCTATAGAGCCTATCCCAATCTTATTTAGACTTTCTTTTGGTAATTTAGCAGCAATGTTGGTTTTGACTTATTAAGAACTCCTAGGGAGAAAAGCTGTAACACTCAACGCCGAGGTCATCTGCTGGTCCTCATATTTGAATTTTCATCCCACCCCTGGGCAGTTTTGCTCTGTAGCCCAGGCTGGCTGTCAACTACAGCCATCCTTTTACCTCAGCCTCCTAAGTGCTTGAATTATATGGAATGAACTGCCATGCCAACCTATGGGTTCTCCTACATTATAGACAATCAGTTTTGTCTGGGGTCCTCTTACCTCTTCTACTATGGAGGCTAGGCCCTGACACAAAGTATGGAGGCCAAAAATACTCTCTGCAGGAAGCTTATAAAATCTCTCTAGAAATAGGCTACCCATTGCTGGGACCCCCCCCCCAAGAGCCCTATTCCCAATCCCCCCTCCACTCCTCATTGTGGTATCCCAGCTTCCAACCTGGGCAGAATGCCCCCTGCTTGACCAGAGGCCATGCCAGCCACGAGATGTCCAGCCCACACTCAGCCCCCTGCTCAACCACAGGCCACTCTGGCCAGAAGACCTAAGAGGAAACCAAGGAACAAAACACTCATCCATAAACATAAACACAACATAAACATCTCAAAAATCATAAGCAACCAAAAAGGTTTAATAAAAATCTATTTTCTCTCATTCCTAATCTCACTAACAATTATCCCAATTCTACTCCTAATTTAATCTATCGAGTAATTTCAACAATAACAAGAACTCCCAAAGACAAACTCAGAAATCAGCACCTAGGATCTATAACCACTCCAAACCCAGATGCCAAGACACCAGTGTAAGAACACAATCAACAACAGCCAAGGCAATATGTTACCACCAGAACCCAGATATCCTACTACAGCAACATAGCTAAAGCACAAGAAACAGATCTTAAAATCAACTTTATGAAGATGATAAGGATCCTTAATAAGAAAGTGAGTAAGCCCCTCACAGAAATCGAGTAAAAGACAAAAAAAAAAAAAAAAAAAAAAAAAAAAAAA